GGGAACTGCAGTTCAGAGCGCAGAAGGAGAGGGTGAAAAAACACTTAGTAGATGAATTCTGGTTTCCAGGGCCAGATGAGTTACATCTGGAGTACTGAAGGAATGAGTAGAGGTGATTGCTGAACTGCTAGCCCTAATCTTTGAGAACTCCTGGAAAACTGATAAAGTCCCAGAAGACTGGAAGAGAGTAAATGTCCATATCTACAAAAAAATGGAAGGAGACAGACCTGGGATATTATTATTATACCTGTCAGCTTAAAGTCTATACCAGGTGAGCTCCTCAAGCAAATTATTAAACAGCATATAACAGCTTGGATAGGAATGCAACAATTAACAAGAGCCAGCATACAAACAAGCATGCCAGATTATCCATATTTCCTTTTTAGATAGAGTAACTAGCTTTGTAGATAAGAGAATGCTATGAATATAGTGTACCAACTTCAACAAAGATTCAACAGTGATTTTCATGATATCCTCATTTATAAAATGGCAAAATATGGATTAAATGTGCAATTGTTACATGGCTTTGAGTACTCATAAATAGCTCCATATCAGTTTGGAGAATTGTACCAAGTTGAGTGTCACAGGGTTGAACACCTATACTGTTCAACATTTTTATTGAGGACCTTAATGAAAGGGTTGAAGAAATGATTTTTACCAATGACACAAAACTAGGAGGAATGGCAATTCTTTAGAAGAGGAGATTCACAAAGATCTAGACAGGCTTGAACAGTAGGCCAAAACAAACAGGATGAAATTTAATATAAAGAAATGTAAAATTCATGTACCTGGGGAGAAAAAAAAAATGAAAGGCACAAGTATGAGATGAAGAAGACCTGGCTTGGCAGTAATATACATGAAAAAGATCTGGGAGTCCTTGCTGACCATAAATTAAACTAAGCCAGCAGTGTGATGCAGCTGCTAAAAAGACAAATGTTATCTTGGAGTGCACTAACAGGAGCACAGAGTCCAAATCAATGAAAGTAACTGTTCCATTCTGTTTTCATTGATCAGACCTCATCTGGAATACTTTGTTCAGTTCTATGCACAACAGTTCAAAAAAAACACAAGCTGGAGCACATTCAGAGGAGGGCTGCCAAGATGGTCAAGGGACTGGAAATCAAGTCCTATAAGGAATAGTTAGAGCAACTAGAGAAATCTGAAGGGAGATATGACAGCAGCCTTCAGATATCCAATAGCATATAGAGGATGGAATAGACTTGTTCTGTCACCCCATAAGGCTAGGATGCTATATTAAATTTTATGTTTCTCCTTATTGGAGGCCTGTGTTAAATCCAGGGAGGGTGGGACAGTATGAAGAAGAGACTTAGACTGACTCGTCCCTGACTCCCTGGGATATAAAAGGGAGGGAAAGGAAAACACAGGCAGATTTGCAAGATTCTGTTTCTATAGTCTATCTCAGTAAAGTACAGTTCTAGTCTTCCTGTGGAGTCAATTTCCTGATCTGGTTTACCTTGTAGGACTGACAGTTACCTTGTGCAGTCCAGGGAAGTGCAACCCGGCCAGAATGAAAGATGGAATATCACCAGTCTCATATTCCAAACTCAGCCATTCTGTCTTGCTGGGATTCTGCCTAAGACTGTTGTTCCCCATCCAGGCCCTCAGAGCCTCCAGGAACTATATGAATCTCCTATTTGACTAAGGATTAAAATATACAAATGAAGATCTTCTGTGTACCACTGATACCTGACTCTCTGAAGGCAGATGAGCTCTCCCTGTGGATTTGTGTAGAGGTTAAATAGGAGGGATAAGACAGTAGAACCCTGTGATATCCCACAATGGCAGGTTTTAGGAATCAACCTTTCTTCCCCACTAACCGAAATTGTTCCCAGGGAAGGAGGAGAACCACTACAGTCCAGTACCCCTGATCCCTGGAGCTAGTCCAGAAATACCATGATCAATGATATCAAAGACAGCTAAGAAGTCAATTAGTATCAGGAGGGTTGCACTCCCCCTATTCTACTCCTATCACAGGTCCTCGACAAACACAATAATGTGGTCTCAGGGCTATAACCTGTCCTGAATCTATACTGGAATGGTTTCAGGTCATCTGTTTAATCCAGCCTTCCATAACTGCAGGTCCACCCCATAACAGCAGTATTGATGACACTAAGTATCCAAATTCCTGTTCCCATCGCCCCAATGGTTTCATATTGTTGTTAAATAGCATTAGGGACAAAATAGTGCATAGCAGCCAGTATGCAGAAGCAAAATCACCTAATCACACTTTTCATGTGTAGAGTGGAACTTGTCTAATACAATACCAAACTCTAACTCACAAAGTTGGGCCAGAAAGATACCATCACTGAAAGCCATTGATATACCAACAAGCATCAACAGAATTGCACACCTTCGTCCCCAGAAGTCATCTATTAGGACAGCTATAGCTAATTCTTTTCCAAAACCAGGTCGCACAGACTGACCCAGCTCATCAGTTCCTCCAAGAACTGTTGTTGCAGAGAAACCATCCACTTAAGTACACCACCCCCAAAAGGGGTGGCAAAATTACTTGGCAAAATCCTTTGTATCCAAAGAAGGTTTCCTCAAGAGCAGATGGACTGTGCCCTCTTTTAAGACTGGCAGCAATATTCCAACATGCAAATACATGTTCTACATTTCCTGGATTCACCCAGTCAATCCCCTTCAATAGACTAAATAAACCAAGATGAGCAGGAGTCACAATAGACCATAGCAGGCTGGATAGTCAGCCACAAATATCTTGTCCACATCCTCAGCTCTCAAAAACTGAAAGCGACCCCCTACAATTGGACTCGATAGAGGACTATACACTTCAGTTTGTATTCTAGCATAAATAGTGTTCAAAATGGCAATGAAGATGAGCAATTTTATTCTTAAAATGCCTCTCAAATCTATCACAGCAAGTTTTTGAGAGCTCCAACATGGGGACAGATAACAGTAACACCTTGATCACATTAAAGAGTGCTGCTGGATGCTATAGATGATTCTTCATTGTCACACAGTCAACAAAACTGCTGTGCACTAACATGCACCAGTTAGCTCCACTACCTCTCTTATACCACTTGCATGCTAATCATCTCCTAGCTTACTTTATCACCTTGAGCTTCCCAGAAAAAAAGGGAGAAGTATGGGTTTCACAGCCACAGAGAGGGCAGATGGGAAATCATGACAATGGATTATTTTGTTTCCCCATTCCAAAAGCCTACAAGGGCCTCTACAAATTCAAGTATGAATTCCACATGAGATTCCACAAGTCATTTCACCATTACAGGAGAGGAATAATGTTGTAAGATCAAACTTTGTTAGATGATAATCTGACTGACAGTTTCTTACATTTAAGAGCAAATTATTGAGGATGGTTGTATCAATATATACCCTAACCCTTTGTTTCTAGAACCTAAAATGCTGGCTTTAAAGAGCCCTACACAGCTTGGGATCAAGATACTTGGCTTGAATCTCTGAGTGTTAAATATATTCTATTAACTTCTTCCATCCAATGTACTTAGAAGTAATCTCACTGAATTAAATATCACCACAGCATTAAGAATCACTTTCTATAAACCAGTGTTGTTCTAATTTCTTGTTTGGGTTTCTTTTTTGGCTATGATTCCAACTGTATCTCCTTTTCAAGATTAAGTGACCTCATGAGGTAACTAGGAGACGTATCTGTATACAGTGGTACCTCTAGTTATGAACGCCCCTCCTTACGAATTTTTCAAGATACGACCAGC